AGAAGCTTCTTTTCCCCATCCGCCTTTAGGAAAATATTACTTAGTGGACTCAGGTTATCCATCCAGAAGTGGTTATCTAGGACCTCATCGCAGAACTAGATATCATTTAGATCAGTTCAACAGAGGAGGACCACCGACAAACAGTCGGGAACTGTTTAACCGTAAGCATTCCGGTCTGAGATCAATAATTGAGCGGACGTTTGGTGTCTGGAAAGCCAAATGGAGAATTCTTGATAGGAAGCATCCTAAGTACAAGTTGAAGAAATGGATTAAGATTGTGACAGCAACAATGGCTCTCCATAATTTTATCAGAGATTCACAAGAGGAAGACAGAGATTTTGTTCACTGGGAAGTGGTGGAATCCTATGAACAACATGGTGATGATAACTATGGACATGAACATGTTCCATACGTACCTACTGGTGATAGAGTGATGGAAGCTATGCGAGATTCTATCACTACTGAGATGGCAGAAGGAACTAGACTTCCATATTGAGATGACATGAGATTGAAGATTTCTTTTGAATTTATCTTTTTCATGTTTTAATATTGTGGACATTTTAGTTTGAGAGATCTATATTGTAAAAGTATTTTGGAGTTACATTTAGTATTTAAATTGAGATTTTGTAGTTTTTGTTTGCTATTGAATTATTGATGTTGTTATATTCCTAAATGATATAGATTGTTGTAATTTAAAAAAAAAAAATAGATTTCATGAAAATAAATATTTAGAAATGTCAAAAATATTAATTTGTAAACTTTCTAAGTGTATATATATTTTTAATCAATATTTAAAAATACTATGATTAATATTAATATGAGAAAGTTATTAAATCAATACATGGGTAGTTTAGTCATTTTTAAAATCAAATCTATCTGGATGGATATGCAAAATGGAGAAACAAACACATCTCCATCCAGATAAATCATCCAGATGAATCATTTAATATCTTGTTCGTTTCATCATTTGGAGAAGAGATGAATCATCCACATAGATTATTTGAATGGATCATCTGGATGAATATGCAAAATGGAGAAACGAACAGGGCCATATTCATGAAATGGTTAATGATCTAACTTCTTGATATAGTTCATGAAATGGTTAGAATTTCTGAACCAGTTGTGGTAATAAGAATCGTATGCTCAAACTGTGCGGCCGGACCACCATCTGCTGTCACAATTGTCCATTTGTCTGGCCATGTTACAAACTCGGTCGTTCCAATGGTCAGAATTGGTTCTGTAAAGAAAGGAACCAATCAATATATAAAAGAGTAGTATAATGCATTTCATCAAAAGAACTATATAGAGAATGCTCACCGAGCGTAAAAGTTTGACCTTCAATCATATATTCAAGTTCATAATCATCTGCACAGAACAGAAAGATTTTCAGAGTTTTTCGACCATAACGAAGAGTTGTTGTCGAAAAGCCCTCTTTCGTTACTTACAGTTACTGTGAAGATATATAAGAGGTTCCGAGTGTAATACCGTTCCTACACCATGACCGATGAAACGCTCCATATTATAGCCATACTTTGCAGCATGCTCACTGTTGGAAACTGGAAATTATCAAAACTGATCCTCCAAACTTTACATATATGCTTTACTGAATCCAGTTTAGTACTATTACTACCTGATTATCTTGCCAATTTGTTTGAAGTTTGCTCCATCTTTACAAACCGATATACCTTTCTCCAAGCACTCTTCTGTGACCTGTTTAGAACAATATATAACCAAGTCAGCCTCTAATGGTCTCATAAAAATTAACAAGGCAAAGAAAAGGAGAATCCATTAATAACCTTCACAAGCTGTATAAGGCTTTCATCGACGTCTCCGCATAAGAAAGTCTTTGATGTATCTCCATGGTATCCCTGATTGAAGTGTTAAACCCCAAAAAGTGTTACATTCTAAAACTCATTGCAGATTAGCAAAAAAAAAGAAGCTCATAAATACTTACATCCAAGTAAACCGCGACATCGATGTTTATTATATCTCCATTCTGAAAACAAGGATTGATTAGTGATATATATGTATAAACATCGGCTACTTTCAAAGTCTAAACTCTTCTAATTCTCATACTTAGAAAAGCAGTTTATACTACAGTACAAACCTGTAGCGGACGAGAATCTGGAATCCCATGAAACATACATTCATTAACCGATGTACATACACTTTTCGGAAACCCACCATAACCAAGTGGTGAAGGATAAGCACCAGACTCAATAACCATCTGATGCACTGCCTTGTCAATCTCATCTGTAGTAACAAATGGCTGCAAAAAAACAAACCATCAAACCAAAAAGGATTCAATCAAATCAAGAGACTCACAATAAAAAAAAAAAGCTAATCTTTTTACAGTACTTACTCTAACCAAAGTTCCTGCATAGTCTAACACACGAGCTGCGAGCTCGCACGCTTTCTTCATTTTCACAATGCCTATAGAGTCAGGAATCTGAATCTCACTTGATATCCTTGGTACTTCACTAGACTCAACATATGAAGGCTTTAGTATATGATCAGGAACACAAAGACGAGGAGTTACTCTTCCACATACTAAAGGCGGATTTATTCTATCTTCTAATGAGTTTTGAAGCTGTTGAATCCTATAAAATTTGCATCAAATTAGATTTTTAAATTTGTTCAATAACTATATATTAAAATCAATAATGTCACCTTCATGAATCATGATTATTCCAATTTTGTTATATACCTTTTGATTCTCAGAGAATATGATTTCTTCTTACCTGCAAGAAAACAATACATCATAATTCGAATTTATGACTCAAAGATACTAAAAATTTCTTTAATTCTCTATCTAATTTTACTAATCCCTTTTCATCACTATCAAATTTTCCAAAACCTAAACATGAGAGCTTGACCAAACAGACAAAAATAAAAAGAGAAACCTGAGAGCGGGAAAGAGGAGAAGTTGGTCGGGGCTCCGGCGAAGTATTTTGACGGCGTTAATTTACTGCCGTTAAATAAAGAACGTGACGGAATAATCTTCTGCAACATTATTTTTTTCGCCGGTGAAATAATCAACGGACCGAAAGATTTTAAGGAAGAAACACTTTAATGGGCCTGTAACTCAATAAGGCCCTTAATAACTACGAGTACGCCCAACAAAAAAAATGTAATTAAGCAGCTCAATTGTACATTGCATAATTTAACACACAAAAAACTATACTGTAATAAATATACTGTAATACAGTATGTGAGTTTCTCATACCAACATGACATATAGTGGTTCTGTCACTATGTCACCACTTGGGTTCAGATCCGGTTGAGTGTGTGTGATTGTTGTTGACTAAAAATGAAAATTTATACATTTTTTATTTTTCTATGGTTTAAGGATTTTTTCCATATTTTTTTTTCCAACATGTTACAACCTACAACATAAATAATCTCAGCAAAAACTATAAGCTAAAGAAAAATCAAAACAATTAACTTTTTGTTATCCCAAAAGAAAAAAGAGTTGTTAAAATTGTAATTACAAAACTCGTTGCTTCTTATGATTATTACACTTCAACGACATTGACATCTCCGCTTCTTCCTTAACCACTAGACCGGCGGTGTCGCTGAAACAAATATCAACCCCGAACAACCTCACAATCCGACCCGTATCCTGATCCGACCCAGACCCGGATCCAGACTTCGATTTCCACCCAATATACAACTTGTGATCCTGACCGTTAGATCTTTTAAAACAGATCGAATCGCCAGCACAAAGTCTCTTCTCTTTAACAAACCTACTCCAACCTTTAGTCAACACATAACTTTGACTACTATTCCAATACGAGTAACGGAACCTCCACACTTTTCCGTTAACGTCCTCAAAGTTCAACAGCATACCTTTCACGGAGACGTTACTTTCATCACCACCACTTAACGGAAAATGTTTCTCCGCTTGGTGTTTCGGTATAACCAAACGGTTTAGTTTCCCCACGTCGCTCGGCGTTACCGTCTTCTCAAACAGCAACCCCGACGTTTTAAACCCCGTTATAACCGCCACGGTAACGGAACCAAACCCTGTCGTCTTGTTTCCGTTACCGTAACGTTTACGTTTCCTCTGTTCTAACTCTTCGTTGTAAGTGTGTTTCCTCAACATATCAACGATCTCTGACTTCGAATGGTCGTTTAAGAACTCAACCTCTTCATCGTCGTCGACTTTAGCTTCTTTGAAATTGGTAACAGCGTCGCGGCCACGGAACCGGTGAGCCGCGACGTCGTAAGCACGCGCTGCTTCGTCTTCTTCGTTGAATGTCCCAAGCCATACGCGCTGGTGCTTCTCGTATATCTGAGCTCCCCATCTACCGTTTGGTTGAGGAACAACACCTTTGAATCTTGAAGAAGGAAGCTTTCTTGATTCCGCTTCGAGACCGTTCTCGGAATCAAGAACCACGCTTGTTCCACTTCCCATTCTGTATAGTAAACCCGCCGGAGACGGTGACTTCTTCGCCGGAATCTTGACCGGAGTGTGAATGGAATCTGTAGTTGTAGAGCTCTCGTCTACGCTACTCATGTTTCTTGAATCGAAAGAAGAAAAAAATCACAAGAAAATTGTGAAATCTTGAGAGATTTAGAGAATATGTGTGAACGTGTATGAATGAAAGCGTGTATGTGTTTTTATATATAGATAGAGAGACAAGAGGGAAATAAGAAAACACCAAGTGTGCATGTATGTTATTAATATATTTTTTTATATTTCTTTCCTTTTTATTATTATTTGTAGTGTGTTTTTAAGGAGATAAATAATAATATATGGGTTGGTGTATGGGAATAATATGGGTGTATGTGTGTATATGTTGTGGGTCAACTTAAATTCACAGGAAGGTTCATGCAAAAGATAAAAAGAATATATTTGTTTTCTTTTAAGAAAAGTGTAAATTCGCATTTTCCAGTTTAGTTTTAATGTAACAATTAAGAAAATACTTATATATTATAAAAATATTAATTAATTAATTTTTGAGAAAATTAAAAAATTAAACTAATTATGTAGAAAATTTACGTATAAGAAAATGATTCTAATAATGTTCTGTGACATAATAAAACATAAATAAAAGGCACTCACAAAAATGTCATGAATATAAAACTTCTGATCATTTTTTTGGTTATTATTAATCAGCAAAACTTGGAGTGTCTTTTTTATTAATTACCCTATAGTATTACTAATTTACATTACATTTAAAACGGAGGAAATTATCAAATTCACGACGATATGAATAATGTTGTGGGCTGCATGGGGAAGTGGGGGCGACAAGTGGACCAAGATGGATAAAAGAGATTCACATGTGAATTAGAATTTTTTTTTTTTTTGAAAAATGTGAATTAGAATATTAAGTTTTTTAAAGTTAAGTTCATTCCCCATGATGTATGATTTGCATTTTACATGTTAATCAGAAATAAATATAATAAACATTATTATGATAAACTAAAGATTAACAAAACATAAATCGGGTTAGATTTTTTGTTTATTTTTATGTTAAAGATACCACAGAGATGTTAATTCACTACTACGATATTATTCCTTTCTCACTGAAAATTAATATATGTTTTTATTTCTAAATCTAAATGAATTTTGTTCCGTGAGGATATTTTTTGCAAAGCATGAATTATTCATGTGTATACAATCGCAATGGTTAGAGATATTATACCCTTTTTCAATATATTTTTTTTGAGTATTATTAGAATGGAACTACTGTATATGTGTGTGTTTGGGGTAATAATATAAAAACTTTGGGAGGATATGTAAATGTAATATTAATTGAATAAAATAGAGGTTCTGACTCTGACTTGTGACTGTTGATGTTGAACGTAAGAAAAAAACATAGTCATATGCATATTTTCTCCATATATACATTAGGGGATGAGGATTAAATGGAATTTGAGTCTTATTAATCTTTTTTTAATATATTTTTGTGGGTTTTTAATAGGATTTGTGCATGGTTTGCAAAAATCAAAATTAAACTATAATTTTTTGTTCCAAACACGCTAATTTTTATGCATAGTTTGAAAAAAAAAACTACATTTTCTTCTTTAAAAAGAAAATAATAATCATATTCTAGGTAAAATGAAATTAATTTATTTTCTCAGTTAGTAAGAAATATAATGTTTCGACCGGAAAAAAAGCAAACATATTTTTAAAAGAATCATCTCACTCTTAATATTTTTTAAGAAAACAATCTATATTAACATTTTTGAGGTACTTTTTGTGTTCTATCCTTTCATTTTGTGATATTTTCATAATTAACCCCTTGCCATTTGATTAAATAGACAAAGTTTAAGATGAATTTTGTAACTAGATCATAATAAAATTGTAAAATTAGAAATCAATATTTATTACATTTAACAAAATTTCCTAAAATTTCTTCCTAAGAAATCAAATATTTCTCCAACATCTTTATATGATCTTATTTGTTTTTAAATTTATATTATTACAAAAACATATGTATGATAAAAATATAATTTTTTTGTATATGTTGCAATTTGAAGTTTTAGAAACGGATGTATACTACTCAAACGATACAAAATGGATGTACTAAAATATTAATGATAATTGTATAGCACGGGTCATGTGATGGAACAGGTTATAATTTATAATTATGATTATAGATATTTTTACGGGTTGTCTACTATAGTATAATTCACAAAATATTTTAATATGAAATTACTATGTAAACAAATATTATGTCAGTATCATTTCATTATTTTAAATATTATACTTATTTAATTAATTTGATCAAATTATGATTATATAAAAAATAAATTATCATATAATATTCTACGGGCAAAATCTTAGAATTAACAATCAAAATATAGTAGTACACTCTTATATACCAAACAAAATTAATAAAAAGAATACATTTTAGAAATGTTGTCCCGCGGTGTACCGCGGGTTAAGATCTAATATTTATTAATTGTAGATCAAATATATTAATATATTATTCCGGACAATTAATGAGTTATCCACGACATATTTTGTGAAAATAGTTAGTATTTGACGTATTTCATTGTGGTTTCAATTAATTTTAAATTTTAATAATCTTTGGTCATCTTTAGACATTTGAAGTGATAAACGTATTTGAATTTTTTCTACCAAAAAAAACATATTTGAATTTTAGTGGAGAGATATGTATGAGATTCAACTTATGATTCTCTCATATAACAAATAAAATCTTAGGATTTGATTTGTTCCTTATATTTTTATTTATTTAAAGAGTTATGATGTGTTCTTGTGGAAATAACAAGTGAAGTTGATTGCCACGACCTTATATGGTTTTTCAATTTTTATTATCATTTGTTTATGCTTTCTAACTTTATCAAAGTCTAATTGTGCCATTAATAACAGTATGTTATTTTGAATGTGGCCAATTAGAACACTGCAAAAATAAAAAAAAATGGACGCACAAAATGAGATTGGCTCTCACTATTCCATCAATTTGATGAAACGGACTGCACAAGACGATTGGTAGCTTTGAAAAAATTTAAGCTATTTAATTATTTAAACAGTATTGGAAAAAAAAAAAAGATATGACAGACTTGTAGTCAAAATATGTTAAAAATAAGAAAAGTTTCAAATTAACCCAAAAACACGATATATATATTTTTTTAAACATAATATTTTAGTATTGGAAATATTTTTAAAATATGTGAAATAATTAACTGAAAACTTTAGTTTTGAATTAGAACCGAGAAAAACAAATTATCGATTATATGCATGAGACAATACAAAATATAGTTTATAACTAATACTAGTCAGTCATAATAGGTGAAAAATAAAATCTTAGAAATATAAAAATATTTTAGGATAAGCTTATATCATGCGAATTTTCCAATTTAGATAGGTGTCACTGGTATAATTACACACAACAAAATGACAAATGATTCACAAATAATATGTCATTGTTTTATAAATACCTGTCTTTGAAACAAAAAAATGAGAAAGGGAATTTTTCTATTAAAAATGATTTTTAATATAGGGCTTACTAAAACTATGTGCCTAGATAAAGACGAAATGAAAAATGCAGGTGTGATAACACATAAATTAGTTCTCTCTTCATATGTCAGAAGAAGTTACATCATTATCCCTAAGTCGATTTAGCAAAATCAAAAATAGCTTTTGCAATAACATAGGGTAGAGTTCAGGCTACACAGTTGTCTGATTTGGTTTAACCAAAAAAAAACAAAAAATGGTAGAATACGAAATACTGTTCATCAATGATTAATAGCGTTTCATAACTTATTTCTAAATATGTTAAATCATTTGTTATCGCGATAATTTACATATTATATGTTAAATTAATATTAACACTATTCATCCGTTCTTGGAAGAATTCAATAACACTGTTCATTCGTGATTAATAACATTCGATAATTTATTTTTAAATATGTTAAATAATCTGTTATCGCAGTAATTTACATATTATCTGTTAAATTAATACTTATTGTTATAAAAATGAAAATTAATATTTTTCTGACATTGTATATTAAAGATACTGTTTCTTTCTCCTTTGACTACACTGTTTGGAAACATAATTTATCAACAAAAGCAATAAAAATAGGGATGTAAGTGAATATTTATAGAGATATTTATATGATTAACAATGTAAAGTATATTATATCGTGATAAGTTACAAGTTATGTGATAAACTTTAATTTATTATGCTAACTCATATAGTATATATATCACATATAAATAATTGAGTTATATAAAAAAATGTAATAAATATATCATCATCTTTTTTTTTCTCGAGAGAAAAATTAAAAAGATAGTTTTTTTCTAGTACAATTATATAGTCAATCAGCTACTCTGTTATTTATAGTTATAGGGAGATAGTGGTCAGAAAAGTTAGAAGCTAAATAAAATTTTATGGAAGTTGGAAACTTAATTTTTTTTTTTGTACACCCATTATAGTTTCCTTTTAATATATATAGCCTTCTGTTGGATGGTTTTGACACGAGAGCATTAAAGCTGGCTATTGTCAATACGACGATATATCTTTAATAGAATCAATAATGATATTCTGAACAATCAAAATTTCATATTTATATTGGATTTTTTTTATTTTTTAATTGAACTTCTATTATTGAAAATTAAGTAAAACAACTGAATAATGATATTTAGAACTATATTTTTTGTTGTTGAAAAAACTACCATATTGTTAGCTAATAATGTATGTTAAGTATATAGGAAGCTTTCGGTTGGATGCTTTTGACATGAAAGCATTAAAGCTGGTTATTGTCAATACGACGACCTATGTTTAATAGAATCAATAATGATATTCTGAACAATCAAAATTTCATATTTATATTGGATCTCTTTTTATCTTTTAATTGAACTTCTATTATTGAAAATTAAGTAAAACAACTGAATAATGATATTTAGAACTATATTTTTTGTTGTTGAAAAAACTACTATATTGTTAACTAATAATGTATGTTAAGTATAATATTTATGTTCTTAACAAACTGGTGACTCCAAATTTACACATTCATAAACATCTATGGCTTCAAATTTTAAAGAAATATCATATTCTATTCGAATACAAATCGTACATAACCTAAAGAGAATTTTTATATTTTTTCTTGACAACAAATCGAATAGATTGACTTTAAGTAAAAAGAAT